CCAAAGGAGCCTGGTTAAACTGGGATGGTGTGGTCGAGAGAAGGCTCACATGGACCGACCTGTGGAATATACAGAGTGCCAGGTTGAGTTTCTTAGTGAGAGCAGCGTATGACGTCCTCCCCACCCCTCGTAACCTCACCCGGTGGTATAGGAATGAAGAATCTTGCCAGCTGTGCGGGGTAGCTCAAGCCGACTTGAAACACATTCTGTCAGGCTGCAAGATTGCTCTGCAACAAGGGCGCTACACATGGAGACACAACAAGGTGTTAAGACAGCTAGCTGTGAAGCTCGAGGAAGTAAGAAACGAATCCTCCAGAACATCATCATCCTTTCAGTCTATCCAGTTTGTGAAAGAGGGTCAGAAACCGAGAGCAACAGCAGTCACTGGTACAGTTAACTCAGGAAGCAGTATTCTGTGCAGGGGAAAGTGGGAGATGAGAGCAGACTTGGACAGGCAACTCCACTTCCCGAGTACCATCTGCGAGACATCTCTTAGACCGGATCTAGTTCTGTGGTCCGAGGATCAGAAAGCTGCACTCATCATTGAACTAACCATCCCGTGGGAGGAGAATGTGCAAGCAGCATTTGAAAGAAAGAAGCTGAAATATGATGATCTGGTCCAGCAGTGCAAGCAGAAAGGATGGCAGACACGTTTATACCCAGTAGAAGTCGGAGTAAGAGGATTTGTAGGGGCTTCCTTCATGCGTCTGTGCAGGGACTTCAACATCAGGGGAAAAGCCCAGACAAAGCTCACTAGACAGGTGTCTGAAGAAGCAGAAAGAAGCAGTTTCGTGTTGTGGCTGAGGAGAAAGGATAAGGCGTGGAAGTCCTTCCAGAGAAGTGGCGACAGTGCCTGAAGCGGAGCAGGGACGCCTGCTTCGTTGCCCACCCCCAGAGACGTCTTAGGCAGAACGGGGCGAAACGTCGAGGAAGGGAGGCGTCTAACTGATGAGACGGCACTGGAGACACTTGGAACCTTCCGTGGTGCTGAGAAGCACGCCAAGCTCAGCAGCAGCTAGGCAGGTCAGTTCTGATCTGTATGTCCAATTTTAGTTATCACTGCAAAGGAAGCTACTTCACAAGCAATTGATGTTGGATATGTATCAATCTTAAAAGTATCTTAAACTTTAAACTAAAGAAAGACCTTTTCCCAAAGAACTTTATTTTGTTGTGTGTATAGTAAGTTTGTGTTTATGTTCATGCTGCTATGAACTGTTGTGGCCAAAAGCAAAGTTCAACTGTAAAAAAGGTGAAGAATAGGTTGATTACTTTTTCTATGGCAGTGCATCTTTCTTGCTGGAGGATCGAAATGTCTTTTAAACCTATAGTTTTATTGCTGATCCTGTTTTTGTTGAGCTAAAGATGAACATTATCAAGATGACAAAAAGAAAAAGAAGAAGTGTGTTCAGACTCACTATTCTTCCTCAGCACACAGGTCCAGTGACCTCAGCACATCTCCCAGGAGTATGGTCGAGATGAAACCATTTCCTGGAGGGGGAGGCAGGTACAAATGTTTAACAAGTAAGGCTACACCAAGTAAATTTTATGGATGACGTCCTTTGGAGACCCTAAATCTAATGCGAGAGGGCGAAAAAAAAACAAGAAGAGCCCTAAAAACAAGATGCCTAGATTGGAAATATACTAAGAGACGACGAATGTTAGGACATAAATTGAATGAGGTGACACAGTGTAACAAGCAAAAAGTCTTTTATTCATCATCAAAACAGCAATAAATCAGGTGGAACAGTGGACAGTGAAAAATTTTCTGTTATTAACAGGATGGTCCTGTCAATAGTGCAAATTTTCTGTTATTGATATACACTTTCAATATATACCAATAGACACTTTCTTCGCGTTACGAGTTTCACATCAATCTGGTGATTTGCGGCACTGTCATGACTCTTTGGTCATAGTTACAGGAAGCGGAATTTCTTGTTTTTTTTTCTAGGAACAGGCCAAAATCAATGCGCACGCGGACGTCATCCATAAAATTTACTTGGTGTGGCCTAATAGGAAATGGCAGACTTCACTCCCTCAGACAGAACATACAGAAACACATACATGCACACACAATCTCATGCACACACTCACACTCACACTATCTATGTTTATGAAAAGCAATGAAAAAGAGCCAAACAAACTGAGGTGAAAAAATTCCTACCTTCTGGATCATAACTCTTGAATATCCTTCTGGCCTCTGCATCTCTGGACTCTGGAGCTACCAATGTCATCTCCTGGGGGAGGGGGTGATGACAAGTGCATGGGTTGGTGCAACAATATTTAGCATAAAACAATAAAAAAATGGAGAGGCAACATTTGCAAGCAAATGCAATATTCTTCCCTTTGCATTGTCACAGATTTCAAGTTTTATTAAACCTACATGTAAATACTGTATATTTGTGTATGTTCAGGGCTTGAAATCTTTTTTCTGTAGACTTGCACTGGTGCATGTAACATTGGACAAGAATTACAATGAATCCCTAGTATTCCCTACCTTTGAGAAGAGCACAGTTAGGTGAGTTTCACTGCCCAAGATCCAGATAGGAAACTCTGGGTTCTTCAGGTAACTGCCAACCTAAGGGGACAGGGGAAGAGGTCACTGTTAGCTGGTTAGTCTTTAAAAGTAGACTGTTTTTTAGACATTTTAATGGGCTTTTTTGTACCAGTATGGTAAATGGATACTGCCATGCCAATGATACTGTACATGTTTTGTCAATTTGATGCTGCCACCAAAATATCTGCTTGAGTCAGTACTACAGTACTGTAGCTTTGTTTGTCTTTTGACTTGAAGGTACTATCACTACACATATCCAGAAAGAACATACAGAAAGTGGTCCTTGCTGACATCATGTATCTGTAAAGTCTTGTGTGAATAAGGTCACGTGTCTGTAACCGTAACTCTCGCAAGATCACGGTTTGAAGAGATTGGTCATTAATTATCCTGATGAAGGCGACAGTGGTCATTGAAAATTTGATCTCCATGTAATCTTTGTGTTGGAATAAAGTTCAACATTTTACTGTAGAAGGTCCTCTTCACCTCACAGTACCGCAGGTGTTCCAGCAGGGTGAGAAACCCTACCTTCCCCTGTCTAGGAATGCCTCGAAGTTCTGGAGAAAAGGAAAAAAAGAAAATGTTTAATTCATATGAAACAAGAAAGAAAATAAGCATGAATTTTAGACAGTTGTTGATATGATGGCTTGTGATTTGTGTTTCTTTGTTTCATGCAGTGTACATGTATCTGTCAAATGTGACATTTAGTAGTCCATAGAATTGTTGAAAATGGATTCTGGTCTACACATATTGACATGTGTTGTTGAAGACATAAAAGAAGGACTACAGCTTACTGAGCCCAGCCACATCCTGGTCCCCATCCCACACATGGGACACTGCGTACCCCGTCAGTAAGAGGTTGATCAGGCTTTGACTGGAAAAAAAAAAACAACATCAATTTCTACAGCAACTACTGAAGCATAACTCCTGTTTTATACAACACAAACCCCGAAATTTTAGCAAAATCTTGACTTAATTTTTTTTGGTAAATTGTATGTGACTGTGTATTTGAGCCCTGGGTATATGTATTCAAAATATGATATGAATATGATCAGAGATATGACTTACCTCCCATGCCCATGAACACTATCTATTAATGGTTCTGTGGGGTCAGTGACTTCATTCTTGATATTTTCTATACCCTGCAATAGATACAAAAAGAACAGAAATACTAAATGGTCTAGCAGAAACAATTTTAACTTGAGATGGTCTAGTTAAAAAAACACATGTCAAACACATATATGGTGACCAGCCTCTCCAACTCTGTCCTACAACTTGCTACATAATGTATTGTAACTATTGTAAGATTTCTTACCTTGGACAGAATGACAGAATACAGGAACAACAGAACTCCGTGTCTGCCGTGGAATATTTCGTAGCTACTCTCTATCATTGTCTTTAAGTTGTCGGCACAGGAAAACTGTCGCATCCTGAAAAATAAAATAGAAGGGTTATGGTAAGTACCCAGAAGTAAGCAGTTATCATTCTGTCATACAAGCACTTTTTAAATATAAAAAACAGGATAGTGGTTAAATGCACAATAGGTAGAGAAGAGATCTGCTAACTGGTTCTACATGGTGTATTGCTGAACACTGCAGTTTGGATGTAGAAACAAAGGACAGGTAACAAGTGATATCAGTCACCTTAAGGATTGATGGAATTGGTCTACTGCTGCAGTTGGTCCCTCTACTTGTGCTGAACCTGTATCTGTGAAATACAAAAGATTTAGGTCTAAAGGTTCCAGGTTGGAATCCCAGAAAACTCAATGTTGTATCCTTGGGAAAGGCTATTTACAGTAAACTATTTTCCCACTCGACTCAACATGTACCCAGGTTCAGTTAGGGATGTCCTAAAGCCAGAGGTTCTGTGTTTGAGGAGATGGACACTTCGAGCATGTTAAAGATCCCACATACACACAAGTACAGAACTTAAAATCAAAAAGACTATGGGTCCTTAGGGTATAGAATTTTCTTCTTACACAACCATGGAGTTTCTCACCTGCTTACGTTTCGATGTCTATCAGACACCTTCCTCAGAGCTTCTTGCCGCACTCGTAAGCAGGTGAAAAACTCCATGGTTGTGTAAGAAGAAAATTCTATACCCTAAGTATCTTCCAACCTGATAAAATTATTTACGGAAACTATGGGTCCTTCCTGGTAAAATTCAAGTGGTTCAAACCTAAGTTACAGTCTAGTTTTACACAGCTTGGTTGTATTGTAATGTACAAAACTGGTGTGTTGCACTGAAAGGCAGTTTGGGGGTTATGTGAAACAAACAAATCCGAACACAATGACAGGGGTTTCTCCAGAAATTCTTAGGGGAGAGGTGCTCCCTAATCGGTTTGAAAAATCAGCAAATTTTCATGAACATACTAAGAGAAAACCATGAATTTGAACATTTTGGGAGGGGTGCTAGGATTTTGGGGAGAGAGGGAGCACCCTTGCTTCATTACTTGGGGAGAGCCCTGCAATGCCAAGGCCATACCTTGTGTAGGTTCCTGCTCCTCTGCTGCCATGTTCTCCCCACTGCCCTCCCCTGTCTCCATGGGCTCCTCCCCGGACTTCTCCTTCTTAGTGTACTGGTACACCAACACTACCTTCTCCACTCCACACAGCTCAAACACCTCACACAGGGACATCAGCAGCAGCTGCTTAGCCTGGTCAGCTGGGGTGGAAAAAATGACATGAAACAAACCTTTTTATATAGTTAATAGTCAGATTAAAGCCCTTCCCAAATTCCAAAATCTCTATCTGCCTGTAACACAACAGTCAGTGCTTCAAACAGCATGTTTTTCAATGACAAATTGTTTCATTGAATCATTGGCCTTATTCTTCTAGGACTTAGTGCTATTTTAAATAATAAAAAAAGTGACATGTATGAGATAACCAATACGTCTATTAGTACCTAATAACTTACCTGACACATTGTTCCACTGTTCAGGGGCACCTTCTGAGAACAGCAAGTTCTTCAACAGAGAGGCCTGAAAAAAACAGCAATCAAAAGATTTACACAAACTTTGGAACTTTCTTGAACTACATTTCCCAACAAACAATATTAAAACCCTTGTCCTGCTGTGCGCAACATATGTCGCGCGGCACATACAGTACCATCTATATAACACCCTGTATAGGTACGATTTGGGAGTATTTCTCGTGCAACGCATCACACCGCAGCGAAACGCAACGAATGCGGAAGTAACTGTGCCACCGCAGGGCAAAAAAATTTGGGTTTCTTATGATCTAATTAAGACATGAAATTATTGAAAAATATTGTGCCAGGAATGCCAGCAGGACAAGGGTTAAAAAGTGCAAAGCTTTGTCATGCAACTTTGTTTTAAAAATTGAACTTCTTCCTGCTGTCTAGCCCCATCCATAGCCAATACAAATTTGGTACAAAAGTGTGAACTTAGCAAGCTGAAAGTTAATGTTACCTGTAAAGGAACAATGATTCCACAGGGACCTCCTTCATGCTGAATCAAAGCCGTGGGCTCATCTTCACTAAACTCAAACCCTGCAAAATATGGACATTTGATATTGGTAAATCACCTTTACTTTTGGCATAACACAATAGCTGTGAATGATCAGGCTGAAAGAAATCAGCACTACAACATGTACATAGTATTACATACGACATAACATCCTAAGGAGCTTTATTGTATGCTCCTTTGAATCCTTGGTCTCAATCATGAATATGCAAATATTTTATCCAAAGAAATCAGTTTGGAAACAAATCGAAACTTAGCAATTCTGTGTCTTTTTAAACCGTATTTACCACACTTAACTCGGCAGGGACTATCAAAAAACTGTTTAAAGTACAATTCAGCACCTCGTGGACTATGTGTTTTGAAGCAAACGTCGAGATCTGTCAAATTTTGACAAAGAGGAAACCTGTCCATGTGGGGGAAATCCCTCTGTCACCTCCCAACCTTACCTTGTGACCACCGATTAAAAACGTCTGGGCGGATGTTGCGTCCCCAAACCAGAGTCAGCAGGTCCTCTAGGGGCACCGTAACCTCGTCCTGTCCGGATTCGGTCATGATTGTCGCTCAGTTCGACGGAAATTCGATGAAGTTACGGCAGAAAGCACGGCAATTTTCACAGTTTTGTCAAATTAGCCGCCATCTTGGATTTCCGCGAAATGAAATCTCGTGCAGCAATGACAAGCGAGATGTGGCAAAAACACGACAATAATGACCATGGCATAAAATTTTATGACTCATAAATGGAAAAGTAATACACAAGCTTTGTTATAAATAATTATGACGAAAGAATATATTGAAATGGTTGATTTGTGGGGAAAAATCATGACGATCACGTGACTGTGCAACGAGACTCCAAAGTCCAATAATTTGGAACAAACCATTTGGATGATAGGTAACAAGGTTGAGATATTGATTTTTGAAATGACCATCTAATGATAGCTAGAAAACAAGGTAAATTTGATAACAATTAGTTCAGTTTGAAGAACTTTCACGTTTTTAGCAAACTGATTTCTTAACTGCTTTATATTGTTCCTTTTAGAATGCATAAGTATTTCAGATGCTGACAGAGCTACCCCCTAGATGTGGCGTAGTGGTTTCAGCCATGGCGGCCTCCTCGAAAAGTGACATGTCTCATAAAAAGGCTAAAAACTCGAAGTCAAGGAACGACACAGCAGTAAGTATTGATAAACCAGTTCAGCTGAAAGAATGGTTAAGATAGACGGAAGAAAAATGACCAAAGATATGTTACACGACGGCTTTTGAAAGTGCAACTTACATGTATGAAATATTTGGTCTCTCATACCTCCCCTTCGTCACCTGTTATTCCAAATTCTTTCAGATAAGTTATTTTATGAAAGAGGGGAATTACAAATTTCTGTGGTGTTGAACAACAGTACATGTATTGTTTTACCTGCCACCCATGGAGGCGGCCATCTTGGTTCATGCGAGCAGCCATCTTGGAGGATGAGTCATCTACCATATGCACTATTGGTTTTTCTTTGAAAGTTTATGCAAGTTGTAACAGTGGGCTTTAACAGCCACCAACTGACCAGTCTAACTGGCCCAGACCTAAATTTTTGCCATGCAGGTATAGCCTCTACCAGGCTTGAGGAGGCGGCTGGAAAGAGTAGACATCGGCCAAAACAGAGAGATAAGCATGCCAAGGGAGTTTGGCCGTTGAGAGAA